AATGTTCACCTTTTCATATTTTGCACCAAAATTGCATTAAGCTTATAAAAGTAAACAATCACATCCATGTGGACCCACTATGGATATTTTGGTAATTCATTCACTACCACTATAAATAAATAAAAAATACTAAAACTCATCTTCTTATAAAATTAAATTCCGAAAAAGGGACGTTTAATCTGGGCAGGAGGGAGTATATTTTTGCATCCACGCTATTTTAATTTTTTATAGTAAGATAACATATTGGAGTTCTATAAAAAGAATAAAATATATTATAGTTTTTTTTTTTAAGGAAATAAATATTTATTTACTAGTTTTTTTCTTAATGTAATTTTCAAAACAATAAAATATAGTCAATAGAGTGTTAATAACATGTAAATATTTTGTTATACTTTTAGGCGCGGAGCATGTGCTATTGAGATTGATAAATAAGTTCAGAATAACTCAACAAGTGACTAGTTGTAGCTAGGTGGGGCTATTGCCTAACCTTTTTGTATCCATTTTATTTTTTATTCGAATTTGATGTGGGACAAATCTCTCCTTATAACACAAGTACTCTAAGATGTTAATCGACTATATGCATATTTGAGAACAACTACAACTAGCGTGAGTTATCATTGCAAAGTATAATGTTGCGTTTGGTGTGATACCCCTCGAATCCGAGACACGGGTTGATCAAGCTCAGGCCCAAACCCGAGGGAAATATCAAACAATCAATATATAATTAAACACAGAATACAAGATGAAATACAAAATAAGTTAATAAGCTAAAAGAAACTAAAAAGAAATCATTGTATCATAATTAATCAAATCCGATAATCCAAAACTCCATAAGTTTATAACTCGGGAATCCCTCCATTGGACCCCTTATTAAAATTCTCAAACCAAAACTGAAACAATAGAAATAAAATCCAAAACTATCATAGAAAAGATTCCTACATAATCGGAGGAATGAATATATGTATCTGCTCTGCACGTCCAAGCTCTAACCCTGGAACTGATGAACACCTGAAAAATAAAGGAGTGGTAAGACCCACATGCAAGTCCTGATCTACTACGATCTAAACAGTAATCCGATACGCAGATACATCCTAAGAAGACTCAACAATAGCTAGAGTAATCCATATATGTATATAGTACACACTATAGGACGCTCGCTAGTCCAGTAGGTCTGTCTCAACCTGAATAGAAGGCAACATGCAAATACGCACCCTAAGGTGGGCATGAGTACCTAGACTTACCAGGGAACAACACCTATGTCCAGTTATCTATCCTAGGCAATATACGCGCCCTAACCATGGTCATGAGACTCAAACTCATACCACGGCACCATACAATATATATATAAAGTCCGTACTCCTCCTAATACAGTATACCATCCATCTGTGTAGTGGTCTGATATATGTATAACAAATCCATCCTGAAAACATAGTAGGTCATTCAATTCCCAATTGATATGACACAAGTAGGTGATGGACTTAACCTATATGATTAATCCATACCTTAATCCAAGTTAGGTAGAACTTAGTGTTTGAACTAGTCTACACCTAGTATGTCACCGTCCCATACCGGTACATACAATCCTCCAGTTAACGCAGTTGATAATACAGTAATTAAATAGTCATCAACTATACTCCAGAATATACACAACATAAATTTAATGCATATATATATAACAGGCTTTCAATATAGAGCCCACAATCCAATTCCAGTAATGTAAACTGCTATACTAAATTCAAACATTTACATTCTCCAATACAGTCCATGAATTGATACAGTTAACACAAATTTAAGTACCAATTATACCCAAGCTAAGCATAGGAACTTTTAGTTAATTCTCTATACTTATAATACTATGAAAAAAATATGATTATATATATAGTTAAATCACATATAACAATATTGCTAAACTCCAGTAAATAAACATAGTAAATCCTCCAATAAAACTACGAATTGGTATAATTTAATAACAATTTAAGTACCAATTAAATCCAACCTAAGTATAGTTGAGTTTAATTAAGTCACCATACTTAAAACACTGTAATAAAACCTTGCAAAGTTCTGAAACATAAACTAGCAAGACAATGTGCAAAAATGTCAGTTTTTCCTTAACTGTATGTTACTCCAAGATCTAATCAAATTTCAGATTAATGTTTTCCATAACTTCATAAGTCTATTACAATCCCAAAACACATTTAGTACAGCTTAGAAGACATGCCAAAACACTGCACAGTCCAAACCATGCACCAAAACCTTACAGTATGCAAAAACTGGGCAAGAGCAGGCTCTAAAAAAATTGAGCCTGCTCTTTTATCTGATTGAGCCGGCTCTATGGCACTAAGAGCCGGCTCTAAGGCTGCCAAGAACCGGCTCCAACCTTAGGGAGCCGGCTCTAAGGGTTACAGAGCCGGCTCTGTCCCCTTTTTGAGCCTACTCTCACTCCCTTAGATGCCGTTAACTGTTTCTGTGTCTTCTGCTCCAACTCCGGTGATTAACGGAGCCTCTGTGATGTTTTTAAGTCTTTGTTCTAGGTTTAAACTCAATTCTAGACAAATTTTGAATCACTGATATGCAATGATAGCATGCATAGAACATAGGTTTAGAAGCATTGACAACAGAAACTTAGTCTGAAATTGTAAGCAACCCACAACAGATTAATTTGGTGAATATAAACACTGTTTTAAGTATTTATTCTAGAGCTCGTTTAATGTCTCAGACTAATCCTCCAACATAGAAATACAACCACAATAAGAATTTAACACCAGATTTAAAAACAATCGGTAACAAGATTTCAGTTAATACTTTTAAGCAACACCAGGACAAATTAATACGATAGAACTAAAAACTAATTTAAACATGCATACAGGATGAACCATAACATTCGTTTCATCTATTTTAACCTTTGATTAACCCTTGGAGTCTTAACTAGGTATCCACAGAACACGAATTAACGGGAAAAAGAATAACAGAGACTTGCCTTTGAATTTCAGAGTTGAAACACTAATTCCACAGTTTCTGTATTCTCCCTTGAACTGCTCTGCCAATTCCCCAAGTTCACGCTCTGTTTCTTAGCAACCCCTTGTGTTACAGACATAACCTTATGTTTGTCTAAAACCCTAAACCCCATTACATGTATGTATTTATAGACTTAAACATTAACCTTAATCCATAAATAGCATACCCATAGAACGTCAGTTGAACTAGAACATAAAACCCTAAATTCAGATAAATAAAATAACTACACCGTGAATAACTAAATAACCAATTAAGGTAAATCAAACAAATGACATAATAATAAGCAATTAATTTAATTTAACTCAGTGAAAGAATTCAAATAAGTAATTACACCAAATAGAAACAATTAAACCCATTAATTAAATTTAAGTACGAAAACAATTAAACCAATTAAATAATTAAATTAAAGCAAATAAATAATTAAATGCACTAAAACAATTTAAAACAATTAAACCACACCAAAGAAATAAACAAATGTAATTTAATCAACAAAATAAAATACCAGGACTATCATTTTGAAATTAGGGGTATTACATTTGGTGTGCAGGAATGGAATACCTATTCAAACAATTTTTTTTTTTTTTTTTTTGTTTAGTATGCAATTTAAAGTGAGAATGGTCATTTTATTGGAATGAAAATCTATTCATGGGAATGAAAATCAATTCCACAATAAAACGTGGAATGGCGTTCTATTTCCAAGTAATTTTTTTTTTTAAAAATAAACTTCCCAAAAAAACCCTCATGGCTAAGTCTAAAAACAATCACTACTTTCCACCACAACCACCTTCATCTTTCATCACCACCACCACTGGCACCGCCATCAACTTTCACCGTTGCCCACCGCTTTTCACCACCACCACCATTAACATCGCATTGTTTTGTTGCAACTACTACCACCTTTCACCACCACCACCACCACCACTGCCTTCCATCACCACTGCCTTCTGTCGCGACCACCACCATCGCCTTCCACCACTACCACTGCCATCGCCATCGCCACTGCCTTTCACCATTGCCACTACCACCGCGCACCATTTTCCACCACCACCACCACCTTCTACCACCACCATTACAATCACCTCCATTGGCTTCCACCACCACTACCACAACCACACTATTGCCACTGTCTTCCACCGACACCACTGCTGCCTTCCACCACCACTGTCGCCGCTGCCTTCCAACACAACCACTGCTGCCGCCGCCGCCTTCCACCATTGCCACCACCAATGCCTTTCAACACCACCACTGCCTTCCAACACCACCACCTACACTAGTATCGCAATCTACCTCCACGACCATCGTCACCACCATCTACCATTGCCACTACCACCATTTATTTTAAAAAAAGTATTAGAGAATGTCATTTTATTAATTTAATTTATTTGTTACCAAGAGGGATATTATGGAGAATTCAATTTGAAATTTATTCCATTCTAAATTTTAAATTGGTCCAACCAAATACTATAATGGTTATTATTATTACATTCTTACACATTTTATATTTACATCTAAATAATAAAAAGAGAATGATAATTTTATTTTATTCTCATTTGCATTTCATTCCATTATTATATACTAAACACAACGTAAGAGTTTAACTTAAAACAAGAGAGGGAATATGCAATACACTGAGCCATAAATTACACTGATATTATTAGTTATACATGCTAACATTTAATATGATTGAAAAGTGATTTTAAGTGTAAACATTTAGTAATATTCTTATATTATAATAATACATTATATTGTATTTTATCTTAAAATTTGGTTAACATATCCCAAAAAGAAATGTTAAAAGGTGTCAATGTGCCATTGAGCACAGACCAAATTTCAAAGGAGTACAAAATAATAAATAATATTATATGCTGTGATTTATATCAAATATCAATAGTGGAGAAGGCTGTTAGCGACGGCGTCGTCATGTCGGTTGGAGACCATAAAACGTCGTCGTTGGTATTTCTATTTTTTTTGGGTTCAAATAAATGAAATAATCCCCAATCCCCAAAATCAACGTTTCGAACCACAATCGAATATCTCACGTTTTCAAGACTTCCCTCGACGCGGCGGCGTTAGGGTTTCTGTACCACAAAGACCGAACTCCAAAATTCGTCTAAAACCCTAATCTAGGAAGGTATCGATCCATCGTAGAAGGGGGGTTCATCGAATGCTTCTAGGGTTTTCATTCTTCTATTTCTAGGGTTTTTAGAAACGAAGACATCGAAGCTAAGCTATTAGGGTTAGTTTGGAAATAATCTTTCTTCATTTGCAGGTTCATAGGTAGAGGGACATAGAGAGAGAAAAAAGGGTATAAACCCAAATGGATGGTGATGTTGCAGAACAAATTCACGCTGTTAATGGCGATGAACTACAGGAACAACAAGATGTTGAGGAGGAACAAACCGAACAAGAGTTTTATTCAGACGAACAACATGTAGATGATAGTGCAGGCGATGAGATAAAGCGTTCCATCGATGACGACAATCGTGATTCCTCTTCAGGGTTAGTTTTGTAGTCTGTGTAGGTCCTAGGGTTCAATTTGTTTAGAATTTTAGACTTTTCAATTATATACATGTAGTGTTTTTAGAGGAGAGCGACTTCTTCATATGATTGCCCCTCCATGAAATGCTCGAGAGTTATACGCAAAAAGTAACCATTGGTTTTTCTTGTGTGGTAGAAAACTTTTTGTTGGAGGCGTCGCTTGGGAGACAACAGAAGGTATGCAAGAGGCTCATTGCAATATATGTATTTTAGACTTAAAAATTGCTTATTATCTTCCACGAGGATGTAATTACTTCATTCTATTTCACATTGCATTTGGGATGATCATTTCTCTGTATTGTGCTTGGAATCATTTTCATGATTAGGAGAAATAAAAAGCTTCTACTTTTGATATCTCTGTTTTTATTTGAGCAAGTCTCTTTTTTTTTTTTCTTTTGTGTGAAAATTTTACTTATAGGATTGGTGGTATTTAGAGTAAATTTATTATGAGGATGCTCTCACTATGAGCTTGCCTTCACAGCTATTGGATCAAGAGGCGCACTCTCATATATACTCAATTGAACTAACTCATGGCAGATCTTTTTAGAAATAAGTTGTTTGCTTTTGTTTGTTTTATTTAGTTTGGATTTGTTTGGAGATGGGAATTAGGATTGATAGTGCTAGCACTAAATTTTCAGTTGTGTTATGTTTCAATTATATAATATATATAGGTAAATGTTATTTGGAACAGTTATTTGGGAGTAAATAATGGTTTTTTTTATTTTTTTTATTTTATAGAAAATAGTATACTTACATTATTTGACGTTTAACTGGTTGTTAAAAATAAGAAAATATGATGACATGACTTCTTGAGTTAAATCAAATTATGTATGATTCATATATTTTGGATTAATTAAACTCCTAGAACTTCTGTATGAAGTTAAATTTCCACTTTAATGTGCTATGAGTTCAAGGTAATATTAGTGGGTTTTAAATGGGAGATTATTGGATGGATTAATGATGTGCTTTTTTCTTTTTCCCTACAAGTGGTGGAGTTTGTAGTTATGAGTAAATAAATATAATAGTTAGGTTCTATGTTTCACGGGTACTCAAATATTTCTGGATTATGCACGTTCACTAGGAATAAAGGTTGATAAATTGGATATAGTGCAAAGTCAGTAAATATGGATATGCTGATGGATATATTGCAAGATACCTGTTTAATTTCGACTTACTAAAAAGAGAAAATCCCATTTTGTAAAAATTAATACTCCTCTGTCGCAAATTAGGTGCCATGCTTTCCCTTATGGGATGTCCCAGAATAAGTGTCCACTTTTCTTTTTGGGATGTTTCAAATTTTAACCTTCCAACTTGTTCTCAATATTTGAAAGCTTTATCAAATTATGAAATTAATAAAGTAATTTCTAGGATTTTATTGGTTAGTTTTGTAAAGTTTCATGGGTGACAATGCATTAAATGCATGACTCCTTAAAAGTTGTAGTCCCAAAGTGTGGCACTTATTACGGTACAGAGGAAATAAAACATTTTAAAACATAATGGATAATGTTGACAAAAAGGATACATTAGGATATTGAAAACAAAGATATAACAGGTATTCTGTTCCATTCATGTTTGAACTTGGCATGATATAGTTCGTGAATGGTATATATGTTTGACATCCCTACCATTGGAAGCATTGCCTGCATGTTGCCCAATAGGGGAATGATGCACTTTGTTTGATCAGAAGTTTGATTAGATGCCTTGTAAATTTTTTTTTTCATTGCATGATATCACAAAAAGAGCCTCAAGTCAAAGAAGAAAAAGGTTGGTCGTGGAGATCATTCGATTTTGTCCTTGTGTAGTCGTGTTCTGTTTTTTAGGGGAACAGAAGAAGATAAAGGTAAGACTTGCACCTGCCTTTCCACCCTATACTCATGCCATCAGTTAAGTCATTGATATCGGCAGAGTAGAGGATGGGTTGTTATGTGGCACATGCTTTGATTGTTCAAGGGATAGAGTGATTTCCAGTTAAAAGTAAACCAGAATTGGGGAAAAAAACTGTAAAGAATTCTCTCTTTCTCAGTTTGGGGGATATTTTCTATGAACTCTTTTGAATAACTGAGTGTTTATGACAATTTCTAGTGTCAAGTTGATTAAGGTAAGTGGTGTTCGGAAAGATGTAACTTGTACAAAATATTTTTGGGTTTTTTTTTTTTAATCTAATTAAATGAGAATTATAGATCTCATGGTTGAGCTTCTTCTTCCCTACCTCAGATTTGGGCGATATTTTCTATGAACTCTTCTTCTTCTTCGTCAAGTTGATTAAGGTTGGACGATATTTTCTATGAATTCTTTTGAGTAACTGAGTGTTTATGACAATTTCTAGCGTCAAGTTAATTAAAGTAAGTGGTGTTTGGAAAGATGTAACTTGTACATAATAATTTTTTTTTTTTTTTTTTAATCTAATTAAATGAGAAGTTCTTCTTCTCTAACTCAGATTTGGGCGATATTTTCTATGAACTCTTTTGAGTAACTGAGTGTTTATGACAATTTCTAGCATCAAGTTGATTAAGGTTGAGCGGTATTTTCTATGAACTCTTTTGAGTAACTGAGTGTTTATTACAATTTCTAGCGTCAAGTTGATTAAGGTAAGTGGTGTTTGGAAAGATGTAACTGGTACAGAATATTTTTGGTTTTTTTTTTTTTTAAATCTAATTAAATGAGAAGTATAGATCTCATGGTTGAGCTTGTGATCTCTGATATTTTTATCTCATGTCAGTTATTTGGACATTTATTAGGAATACGTTTGATTACTTACTAAATAAAATGATTGAATTTTCTTGGTATATGATTATTTTATCAGGAAGCTCCATGCAGCCAGCTACTAGTATGAGTAGAAGCATGGGATAATTTGCTTGTTTGTAGTTATGTTTTGATAATTTCTAAAGGGCCAAAACATGATTTGCTAGTTTGGCATTGATTTATGCCGCCAACTGATTGTTATTGTTTACCATATCTTCTTTGAGAGAGAAAGAGGGGGGGGGGGGGGGGGGGGGTTGTTCGCTTGCACGGGCATGTTACTTTTAAGGAACTTAACAAGCAACATGTGAAACAGTTGTCATTTCATGAAATCCTTTATGCATGTCCCAAACAGGTCAAAGTTATATGATGAAATAAGTGAGTCATTTTATATGCTTTGTGAAACACAATGGACTGATGTCATTTCTGTTGGATGTATGATACATCTTATTTCATCTGATTTCCTTGTTGATGCTTGTTTACTTAGTGATGTATGTTTTAGTAGCTGGCTGGTGGCATGGAAATCATTTAAAATGCGGTTTTGGGTATTTAGTACTAGGCTATCTGAAGGATTGCTCTTAATGTTCATTTCTATTCACAGGAAATGAAAAGTTGAACTATTTTGGTGTATTCCGCTGCCCCTTGCAAATGTTTATCATGATATTTCAACTTTGTTCTCTTAATTCGTATCCACTCATAATGTATACTCATCTGCTCCCGTAATTTGGTTTCCAGAGACATTTGCCAGTTACTTCAGCAAGTATGGAGAAATTACGGATTCTGTAATAATGATTGATAAACTCTCTGGTAGACCTCGAGGATTTGGATTTGTAACATTTTCCGAAGCCGCAGTTGCTGACAAAGTTATCGAGGAAGAACATGTCATAGATGGCAGGGCGGTAGGTCTTTTGTTTCGATATTTCATTACATAGTATTCAGAAATATTTTCCACCTTATGCTTGGCCCCTTGATAATCACTTGGATTGTTATATGATATTATCCTGCTGGAGGTGTTCTGATATATTTGTATGTCAGGTGGAAGTAAAGAGGACGGTCCCTAGAGAGGACATGCAGGTCAAAGGAGATTTGAAAACAAGGAAAATTTTCATTGGTGGTATACCACCATCTTTTACTGAAGGTAATACACCAACCTTTTGTTTGTTTCCAATATTAGTAAAATGAAATGACTTTTAATTTTTCCATTTTATTTTATATTGCAGATGAGTTGAAGGAATATTTCGCTTCTTACGGTAACATTGCTGAGCACCAGATTATGTTGGATCATAAAACCGGCCGTTCTAGAGGCTTTGGGTTTGTCACCTTTGAGGATGAAGATGCTGTGGAAAAGATATTTTTTGATGGCAAAACGCATGAACTTGGAGGCAAACAGGTAAGCCAAAGTATTCTAGGACTTCAAATTGGTACGCTGCTGTCTTCTATTTTGAGAGAACAGATGAGTTGAGCATCTACATAAAATGTTTCAGGTGGAAATAAAGAAGGCTGAGCCAAGAAGACCTGTCAGTGATTATTCAAAGGATAGCCGGATGCGTCATGGAGGCGGCGGCTCGTCAAAGTCATATGGTGGTTTCAGCGGTGGCGCTGCCGGGTATGGAGGTGGTTATGGTGGAAAGATGGGCAGCAGAGGATATGGTGGTTATGGTGGATATGGCGGCTATGGTGGTTATGGTGGATATGGGGGAAATTATGGTGGAGGTTCTGCAAGTTTTTATGGTGGCTATGGTGGATATGGGCAAGGATTTGGGTTTGGTGGGCCCATGTATGGCGCTGCTGGATATGGAGGTGCCGGTTACGGTAGTGGCGGTTATGGTACTCCTGGTGGTTACAGTGGTGCTGCTGGATATGGTGGTGGTAGAGGATATGGCACCGGTGGCGCTGGTGCTGGTGCTGGTGCTGGTGCTGGTGGGTTTGGTGGTGGTAAAGGATATGGCAGTGGCAGTGGATATGGCGGCGGTAAAGGATATGGGAACGGTGGTGGTGGTGGTGCAACCGGAAGGCACCATCCTTACCGGAAGTGAGTTTATTTACAACAGCTACACGTCAACATCTGATAACCGCTGGAGCATACCAACTATGGTTAAACCTTTTGTATGGAATGTTTATTTCCCTGGTGGTTCATAGTAATTGTTTTCCAAATTTAGTTGCTACTATGTTTTGCAGAACTTCTTTGTAGCTGTATCAGTGATCAATTAGATCAGATGGATCTCTAGTGCTGGGAAAAAAAAAAAAAAAAAAAAAAATCAAAATTGTACTTTGTTTTGATATTTTTTTGACGATCTATGTCAACTACTGTGTTAGATTGAAGGAAAAAAAAAAAAAAAACCAAATAAATGACAGAACTTGCAGTTTTCAATCTTGGTGTCTTATTAAATTGGTGATTTGGTTCCTAGATGGCTCTAGGCCGGGTCTGCTCTGCTTAGATATTTTGAAGCTAAATCAACTTCAACTTATAGTCTCAGTTCTTATGTTACGAAATCAAATGCATTGAAATGTTTGTTGTCTGAGCGGATTGCATGTGCGTAGCTTAAAGATTGTTTATTACCGAACATACCCCACCATGTATTAGGCCATTTCTCATGTAGGAGGAATGAAATGTATTTGTTTCCATTCTCTTGTTTAGTGTATCACATTAAGAGTGGAATGGTCATTCTTAGGGAATACCCATTTCATCAAAAATGTGGAATGCCCATTCCTTTTCTTGAGAGGTGGAATGACCATTGCATTCCCATCAAGAATTAATAAAGTAATTTAAAGAGATAATTCACGCATACACACACTATATAATATATATATATATATGCCGTTTGTTCATTTTCTCCAATTTACACACACAAGGATGAGACAAAAATAGTGTAATTGAACTTCTATGAGTTTTTGTGTAGCAAACTTTCTCAGTCATTATCTAGCCAGATGATTGGAAAATTATCTTTTTCCTTTTTATTTTTGCAATAGTCAGAGAGCCCTCTATTTTCTCTCTTTATCTCCTCTATTTTCTCTCTCTATTATCTCTTTCCCTTATATTTTTGCAGTCATCGGAGAACCCTTTGTTTCTCTCTGTCTCGTTTATTTTCTCTCTCTATTATCTCTTTCCCCTTTATTTTTACAGATTAATTTTTTTAATTAATTTTTTTACTAATAATAAAATGTAATTTAAAGAAACAATATAAATTCATTATATTCTAACTTTCTTACCAAACATAGGAATGAGAATGAGATTCCATTTTTACACATTTCATATTTGCAACCAAAATGGTAGAATAAGAATCATTATTCCCATTCCATTCCCACCTCCATTCTCATTTCATTCCAATTCATTCCATCACACCAAACATGTCCTTAATGTTTCACCACACCAAACATGCCCTTAATGTATGGTTTCTATTACAAATTTATTTTGATGCATTTAATGTTTAAGGGAGGGAAGAGACATCATAAGAAAAGATTGTGTATTTTTTTTTTTTCTTCAGTTGGATGGAATATAAAAGAATAAATAGAGATTGAAAGAGAATGTTTTAATTATTTTTACCAATATATTTAATAATATTTATAATATTTTAATTTATAGATGTTAGTATTTTAATTTAAACTTGTATAATTTAGAATAATATTTAATTTAAAACTTCTATAATGGTCTACTTGTTTTCATTTTTTATTTTACAAAAAAAATGGACGGATAAAAAATTGTAAAGAAGGAATGAGCAAAAAAAAATTCGTTCATTCCTTCATTTTTTTCTCTTAAAATATTCCGTTAAATTATTTTTTGAAATTCATTTTTTTACTTGCAATTTACTCTTTCGTTGTGTTTATTTGAGGAACAAAATGTAAAATAACAAGGTAGTTGATTCACATCATGTAACGCGTTATTGTTTTATTAGACATTTCTCTTTCGCAGTGATGAAAATTTTCAAAACCTAACTTACCAAATCAAACAACCTAAATTTATGAAGTCGGTGATCCAAGTGGACAAATAGTGTTTTAGCAATAGTCAAACATCAATTTCCAATCAACCATCTCATTAAATTTTGCTTTTAACCTTAAGTATTAAAGAAATCTTAGTTAGCCAAGCGTAAAATATAACATAAAAAGAAAAAATAAAAAAGAAAAGAAACTCGCTCTCTAGAGAATTATTGGTTAAAATTCGCGGACTTGTTAGTCTTGCATTACTTATTTTTGTATATAAAATTATGTTAAAACGAGGTTCATTTTCAATATTGGCCTCACAAAATGGTGGGTTAAAAGAATCTTGAAAATTACATATCTTAATTTATTAAATTGCGAAAACATCCTTACAAACGTGTGCCCCTCACCTTAAGCAACATGATGGACGAGGATGATACCTTTGATTTCAATATGTCATCTTTGTCTTCACTTTTCACATTATTTCATTTTAGGTAATTCTCAAAATAAAAGGGCCCATTAAAATAAAATTTTACACCACTGTTAAAAAACAAGAAATATAAAAAAAAGTTCTTTAAGTAGTGAAAAGCTCAATCGCATTCACAATTGAAGTCCTTTTATTTTTGCTTAATGTATACATCTCACCTAATCATCAAATGTTAATTGTAAAGTAGGTGAAAAGTTATTTTTAAAATGTTAATTTTATCATAAATACATGTAAATAAAAATGTAAAATTATACTCAATCTTCTTATATAATTATTTATTCAAGTGTGTAGTTTTCAAGTATGTTATTATATATATATATATATATATATATAGTTACTACATGAACTTTAATTCAGTGATTCATGGTTTCATACTAATTAATTTTTATTTTCAAAATAAGAAAACATAGATTAGTGAAAAATGACAATGCACATTGTAAAATACGTAATATTGATTGGATCATGCAATTAAGATAAAAATAAAGAACTATAGGATAATACGAACCAAGAAAACCAATAAAAAGTTGTACCTCTCCTTAATTTGTTTCTTATACTTCTTGATATCATATTGGATTTTTGTGTGTGTACGTTGTTATTCTAATAAAATTAGGGGAGATCGCACTTCACTTTTTTAAGTGCAATATAATTTTCTTTTTTCTTTTTTTTTTTTAATGCGAATGACAAAAAAGACAACTAATTAATGCATTTTCTCTTATTTTATTATATCATACCTATTTTTTGTATTATAATTTTTTTTTTTTTTTACCTTCATTATTAACTCCAAATTATAGTTTAACGTGGCAATAAACTAATTATCCTCCTTAGATATTATCACATTAGCACCGACTAATTTGAAATAGAACTACCATTTATCGTCATCTTCTTCACCATTTTTCTTTCTATAAAAGTTATTTTTTTATACAGTATCATTTTTGCTGAAATTTTTATTTCTATATGAGTTATTCTTCTATCAAGTGAATGATTTTTTTTTTTTTTTTTTTTTTTTTCTCTGCTTTTTTAATTAATTAATATTATATTTGGTTAATCTTTCCAAAAAAAAAAAAAAAAAAATTATAACTCAAACAAAAAAAAAAAAAGAGAAAATATTTGGAAGGTGGTTTCTATGAATATAGGTTTTGACATAATACCCATCTCTCTCTTTTTTATTTATTTTTTACAAAATCTTTGTTCTTGAAATTTTATTGTTATAACAGTTAGAGCTTTTCTCATTAACAAGAAAAACTTCAAGATTTAAATATATTTTAAATTAATTCTTAAAAGTCAGATGAAGAAAAAAAAAAAAAGAAATTTAACTCAAAACACACAAAAGGAAAAATAAAAGAAAAAATTATAATCACCAATAACACGATGGTGTTGAATGACTCATAAAATTTTGATAATTCTTACATACTTTCTGTGCCAATTTTTAATTGTTACATATAAAAATAAATAATAATTGTTAATTGTTACATATAAAAATAAATAATAATTGAGAGAGATGTTAAATTAAGGAGAGAGGGAGAGATAATAAATATGTAATTTTGATATTTGAAAAAAATAATTATTTATTTATAAAATTAGGAATGGAGTTGTCAATTCCTTAAAATTTTGCCAATTGTAGAAAAGTAGGTGTATTCGTTCTTATGAATATTAGTGGATTAAATTTTCATTTAATTTCTTAAATTAAATTATTTTCACGGCGCTTAAAGTTGCGCGTTTGATTCGTTTATCACCCTCCAAAGCAGCGCTATGTGATTCATCTCTGTTCCTTCTCCCCCTTCCATGGTCACCCATTGAAACAAGTTATATTTCTCTCTCTAAAAAAAACCTCCTCCTCTCTCCAGATAACACCGTTAGACCCGGTCTATCTCTACCCCTTGGGACATTCTAAAGCTTTTCATTTTCAGCGTTTTATTGCCCTCCTTTTTCTTACTCCTTTACACATCTCTCTCTCTCTCTCTAGGGTTCTGATTCTTCAGTACAAGCCTACACTATTCATTTTCTTTCTTAATCTCTATAGGAATGACAACTTCTGTGAAGAACAACTTCTTGCCTCCGGGTTTGGTTTCGAATCTCCAGGACGTCCTTCGAAGCAGAAAGGGAGGAGAAGAGGAACAAGCCAAGAGCACCGATGACTCCACCGAACCATCTTCTTCTACTACGAATTCTGATAGTAATGAACCAAATTTAGATAAAGACAGTTCAAAGCCTGTTGTTTTGGTCACAAATGGTGATGGGATTGAATCACCTGGGCTCACTCACCTTGTTGAAGCTCTGGTTCATGAAGGCCTCTACAATGTCCACGTCTGCGCACCACAATCGTGAGTTATCAAATTTTGATTTTTTTGCTGTTTTTTTATATATATATATGCATATATGTGGTTTATTTTGCTAGTTTTGTCATGTGGGTATGGGGTCTTTTTGATATTAGCATCTTGGTTTTGAATCTATAAATGATTCGTGGTATTAGTTTGATTGATACTCTTAATTTTGTGCTCTGGGTATTGGGTTTGTTTTTTTTGTTTTTGTTTTTGTTTTGTTTTTTTTTTTTTTCATTTGGGGATTTGTTGATTTGTCGGTGGATTGGTTTAGGGACAAATCATTGTCGGGTCATTCATTGACACTCCAAGAAACAGTTGCTGTTAGTTTAGCTGAAATTAATGGTGCCACAGCTTATGAAGTTTCTGGTATGATTGCATTTCAATTTATATATATATATGTCTTCATTCTTCGGTTACTGTATTTTTGCAATTAGTTTTGGTGAATCTTTGACTGGGATTGGTTTAGTTATAGTTTTTATGGTTAAATGATCCGTTTCTATTAGTTGGCTTTCGGGTGATCTTTTTCGGTGATCATAACATTGTATTAATTTGATGCAAGTTTTGCACTTTATGCATTGCTTTGCCTTATTAGGCTTTGTTGTTGGCTCTTTCATTCAGGGACACCTGCGGATTGTGTATCACTAGCATTATCTGGATCACTGTTTTCTTGGTCAAAGCCTCTGCTGGTATAGTTTAATCCACTGCCAGTAATGAGATTGATGATTTATTTCACTGTGATAATCTCCTGAGGATTTGCATTTTTGATCTGAAATTCAGGTAATTAGTGGAATTAACAGGGGTTCAAGTTGTGGCCATCACCTGTAAGTAGTTTGCATGTGGTTTTATTACATTCTAAATAGCAATATTCTTCCCGCTTCGTTTTGGTGAAATTTTGCTGCTTTGTTTTTGTTTCGATAGACTTGTATGTTTGTGAAGTTCCTCTTCTATATCAGATATGGTTTGTTGAAATATCACATGCAAACTTCACAAACAAACAAATGAAGAAATTTAATAATTTATTTAATTGGTGCGGCTGCTTAACAAGTTAAAATTTATTCAACCCCAAACAAATATGGATTGATTTTAGCCTGTTTAATTAATGTGAAGAAATCAATTGAATCCCAGACGGTTACAGCGTTGGTCTGGGGTTGAGTATATTTTTCTTCTCTTACGTTAGCCTGGTTCAGAGGCTTAATTGCTTGCTCATTATTTGATGATTTTTCTAGGTTTTACTCAGGTGTTGTGGCTGGAGCTAGAGAGGCTTTGCTTAGTGGTGTACCATCTATATCAATATCTCTGAACTGGTGTGTTGATGGTCCTTAGCTTTTTGGATTTGTTTTTTCTTATGACTGTTGATATTTATCATAATATTTTTTCAGGAAGAAGGATGAAAGTCAAGAAAATGACTTCAAGGATGCTGTAACAGTCTGTTTACCATTGATAAGCGCAGCCATAAGAGATATAGAGAAGGGAAATTTCCCCAAAAGTTGCTTACTGAATGTAGAAGTTCCAACGTCTCCTTTGAAAAACAAGGTTTATTTTATTTTATTTTATTTTATTTTTTATATTGAGGATATCACATTATTTTCTAATGATGTATGATTGATTTTGCTAATATATCTACCTTGTTGAAATTTGAGTTTCTTTCCTTTGCAGTTGTTGTTGCCTATACACTTGTAACTCAATGCATATATTTTTTTTTTGGGAAGCTGATAAGCACTATTTTTATTTTTTATTTTTTATTTTTTTATATCTAATCAGAAATTCTTTTTCATTGCATTTTTTTTTTCTTTTTCTAAGTGAGCTTTTATTAACAAAACTAAACCAAAACAAAAGAGGAAACCCCCTTAGAGTACATGGGACTAAACCAGTCCAATTTCCCAAATCCAGCAATCAAGAAAAGCAAAAACCACCAGCACACACAAAAATTCTAACCAATAAGAACCCCTATCCTGCCCCCCAAAACTACCAGACCTCTCCTCTATTAACCGATATAACCAAGTCTTACAACACAAGGAAAGAAGGCCTGAAGCAAACAGCAGAAGCTTCCCAGCAGATAGGCAACTGTACTTTCCAAATTAACAGCTCCATACCCCAACAACCAAACCAGCTAAGGACTTCACAAAGATACAAATCAGTCATTTGGAGCATTAAAAATTTCAGAAAGTTTAAGACCCCTCGTATCCACTACTTCCCACTTAATCGGTCTAACAAGATGATCAGCACTGCAAGAGACTGAATTATGAAAATTTTGATTCTTGACTCCCTAAATGGTCCATAGGGATGTAGTAAATATTTGTCTTCAAGTGCTATTTCTTTGTGAATCCTGTCTGAACAGAAAAATGAACCAGTGAGACAGCTGATAAAATAAACTAAATTGACCCCACCTCCATGAACAATTTCCAAAAATCAATCTCCATAGTTCTTGAGCAAAAACACGGTGGAAGATTAGATGATCAATACTTTCTTCATCTCCCATGCAATTTTGACAGACTGTAGTTAGAGGAATGCCTCTCTTCTGAAGGTTAATCATGGAGGGAATCTTGTTTTGAAAAATAAAGCAAGCAGTAACACAAGCAACAGGTCTGCCTCCGTTCCGCACAAGCTTATGCCAATCCTTCTTGTTATTGGATTGCCTATTGAATTTCCAAAGAGATTTAAAATTAAATTTACCATGGCTCCAAACAAACTGCTCATTTTCAGTACCAATAGGAAAAGCTGAAATAAGCTCCCAGATGTTGTTGATTTCAGATGACATATGAATAGGTCTGCACCAACAACCATTTTGAATCACCATACTCATCCAAGTGAACTTAGACAACTCCAATTTCCTATAGACTACTTCCATTAGTTTGTAACAAGGATTTTCCATTCAGCCATGGGTCAAGAAATAATGTCACATTCTGCCCATTCCCAACCTTGAATTTAGTTCCAGGAATAATAATATCCCTGGCTTCAATTAAATGATTCCAAAAGGAAGATCACTTGTACTTCTTTGTGCAGGACTAGATAGAAGCGAAAGCAACATTCATAGAGACCAACCATCTATCCATCTTCTTTCTTTCTTTTGAACAAAATCCCAGAATAATACTCCTTTCAAATTCAAACCAACGTCATGCAGTTTAGGGCAAGTTCCAGAACTCCACTTCAGTAAGTGTAGCTTTTTCACCGACTCCCTACTGCCCCAAACAAAGGATTTTAACATCCTATCAATGGTGGAGCTAGTAGTAGCAGGAATCTTAAAAAGTTTGCACCAATGATAAAAGAAAGAATAATAACTACTTTAACTAACTCTATCCTCCCAGCCAAGGGAGGATTAAGAGAGGACCAACCATGGATTTTAGCAGCAATTTTATTCAAGAGGCTTACGTTCAGCATGTTTCAGATCCCTCTCAACCAAAGGGAGACCCAAATAATTCATATGAAGGTTCCCTCTTTTCACATTCAGAAGTCTCAAGATTACTCTCTTCCAACTGATAGACTGAGAAAAGAATATATGACTCATCTCATAGTTCATAACTAAACCAGACAAAATTTGAAATTGCTTCAACAACATATTAAAACTACCTTTTTTTTTTTTTTGTTTGTTTTTTTTGGTAATGTAACATATTTATACAGTTAACACTTAACAGTCCTTATATCAGCATTTGCCACCAATATCAAGTCATCAGCATAAAAGGAGTGGGAGAAGCCAAAATTAAGTTTTTGAGCAATGTGACAAGATTGATACCTGCCTTCTATGACTTCTTTCTGCACGATAGATGAGAATAGATCAGTGACAAAGGTAAATAACAGAGCTGATAAAGGACACCCCTGTCTAAGGCCTTTTTGAGGTTGGAAAATCCAGCAGGGGAACCATTCATGAGCACAGGAAACGAGGCTGACTGCAAGCATTCTTTTATCCAACCAATCCACCTGTGACCCAACCCATAGGCTTGAAGAAGTTGGAGGAGGAAGGACCAGTCTACTGAGTCATAAGCCTTCTTCAAATCTATCTTCAAGGCCATTAAAGACTTCACTCTTCTTGAATTGAAATCCCTCATCATTTCATTAAGTAAGATAATATTGGTATACCTCTGCCCTTTATAAAAGCACTTTGTTCTTTCCCAACCAGCTTGCTAAGGATAACTCTCAGCCTGTTAGCTAGGATCTGAGTAGTGATCTTGTAGACAGTAGTGCAGAGAGGGATTGGCCTAAAATCAGCTGCTTTACGACTGTTGTGCTTCTTAGTAACGAGGCAAATAAAAGATGAGTCATAGGCTTTGTTCATTCTGGATTGAGATTAGAAATACCGGACAGCATTTATGACCTCCTTTCCAACTATGTTCCAGAATTGCCAAAAAAATCTGGGTGGGAATCCATCAGGTCCTGGGCTTTATCAACACCCAACTGAAAACAACATTTTTTTATTTCTTCAGCTGTAACCATTTCCTCAAGTGGTTGAGCTTCCAAAGTAGATAGGCATCTTCTAGGGAAGACAGGAAACTGATCTGATTGAACCTCTTGATCGTTACTGAATAACTTCAGATAGTATTCCATCATCCACTTCTGATTTGGTCAAATATCAGTAGCCCATTCTTCATCATCATTTTGAAGAGCAGTAATGGAATTCACAGCCCTATGCTGAGCAACCTTATGATAAAACAGCTTTGAGCATTTGTCATTCTCCTTAAGCCAGTTAATTCTAGATTTCTGAGAAAGTAAAACCTCCTCATTGAACAAAGCTTGTTCCAAAGCCAAATGAGCTTCAACCTTAGCATTTATAAGACCTCCATTATCAGGGTCACCAAGCAATTTCATCTGAATCTCCTCCATTTTATTCCTAGCTTCTGCAACTTGAACATCCACTTTTATGAATACTGTAGTGTTCCACACTCTAATAGCTTGTTTAGCATTCTGCAGCTTCTTGGACAAGATATATAAAGGATCTCCTGTAATTATGTCTCCCCAAGCCTGAAGAACTACATCCTCAATCTCTTCCTGGAGGCACCAAACTTTTAGAAACTTAAAAGGTTTAGGCTTTGAAGCAATGTTATTATTCTTTTTCATTGTTGAACTAGTAGCCATCATTTTGTCAGTCTTTTTTGTTTCATTCTAATTTTTCCGGAGTTGTGACGCATTAGTTCCAACATAATGAGAGTTATGGCAGGGGAGCATGTACTTTTGGGATATTATTTTTGTTGCAACCTGATAACCACATGTTGAGGATGGATACCATTCATAATTTCACAAAGGTTTTCATTAGTAATGAAATATTTTGATTTTTCATTGAAGATGAGCTTTTGTCTTTGCTTTTGATCGCTGAGTGAAGAGGGTTGCTCACTGTCTTAGCCATTATCTGATTTTATTTCATTTACCCAAGATGAGTTTCTTTATTTTGCAGTTGTTGTTACCCATATACTTATAACTACTGCACATCTTTTTTGTTTGGGAAACTGAGAAGAACTTTTTTTTCCCCTGGAGGTGTGAAGCATTAGTTGCCATAAGATGAGAGTTATGGCATTTTATGAGGTTATCTTTGTTGCAACCTGATAACCACATGTTGAGGATGAACATCATTTACAATTTTGGAAATGAAATATTTCTACTTCTCATTGAGCTTTTGCGGTTTTGCCCTCTCTTCTAGTCACTGAGTGACTAGGGGTTGCTTACTATCTTAGTCATTGTCTGATTTTATATCATTTACCAAGTTTTTAGGCATTGGGACCTTTGTAGTGCTGCAAAAGTGCGAAAAGCTTCCAAAGGGATCTTGTCTTGAAGAGAAATCAATAGAATTATTCGAGTATAATAGTGCTCCTAGCAACTGATATATAATGTTTTAGTGCAAAATGATCTTTTAACCTGCCTTCTCTGATGTTTTTGCCTTTTGGTCTGGACACTTTTGACCATCAGGTTATTATAGAGGAAAGTGTGCGTCATATTTACACCAATTCCTTAGGTGGTGCACTTGCTTCCATTAATAAAGTGTCTAGGTCCTTCCATCATTACTGGAGAACTTTTGGTCAATGTATGAACTAGAATTTTGAAATTATACGATCCATTTGCAGTTTCGCTTGACTTTGTCTTGGAGGAAGGAGGAATTAGGATTCTAATGAGTGAATTGTAAGAGGTCAATGTTCTAGCGAAAAAACAACTTGGAAAGCGTGTCCTTCCCCCCCGAACTATAATATTTTATGTTGGCTGCTAATGTGAATGTAACTGTGCAATAAAGTTGTTGCTGTTGGTGCAGTTTAGAATTAAGCTACTGATAAATTGATGGATTAAACTTCTGACTTGAAAGGTCTTCTTTTGGGCTCATCTTACCGGAGGAATACTAGATTACTGGATTTTATTTTGAAGACAAGTAGAATGTCGCTCGTTTGGAACCAACTTGGAAGTACAGATTCGAATTCTGGAGATAAGTGAAGTTGGGAAACCCAATAAACCACTTCATCATTCTTTTCATAATTGGTAACTAAAGAAGCTTAACCATAAAAAACTTTGTATGAATATTTTCTTTCACTTGACTTTCGAAAAAAAAATATTTTCTTTCACTTCATCCATCATTTCCAAGTTATTTCTTGGTCTGATTTTGGGTGGTGAGGCACACTAATAATAGATATTGTAGTTTGCTGTTCATCCCGTTATATTTAGCTGTGACCCAAAATTTAGTTTGGGACACTTAGATCCTACTTGCTAGTTTTGTATAATTAAACAAATTTTTTAAGTGCAACCATTATATATATCAATCTTATGCAGGAGGGGAGGTGAACTTGTTTTGCTTAGACTATGACTACCCCCACTTTTAATTGTGAAAATTCATATTATCTATTTATGTGAATACTGACTACGATACGAGGTGGCCTTTCTGTATTCTCTCTGCAGAATAATTTATCTTGCCCCTTAGCTGCAGCAATGCCACCCTTTTCAAAGTTACCACCACTTGAATTGTAGCCATACAAATACATCACACTTGCACATGGCACTAAAAGAGTCTCTTCCCTTTGCGCGTTCTTTTAACTCTGCCAAACAAATTGTTTGTCACTTTCAATGTTTTCTGATATTTAAGTATTCTTTTAGGATACTATTTTCTCTTTAGGTGCATCTTTTCGAAAATATTTTCTTGATTATATCTCTGATTCTTTTGTTTGACAGGGCTTTAAATTAACGAAACAAAGCATGTGGAGGTCCACACCAACCTGGCTAGCCATTTCAGCCAACAGGCTTCCGTCTGCTGGACGTTTCATGTCCAATCAGCAAAGCCTTGGAATGCAGCTTGCACAGCTCGGCCGGGATGCCTCTGCTGCAGTGAGTATCTTTTTAAAAATTGCATTACTTGTCTTTACCATCTTGAAGATCATAGTGATCTTTTTAGTTCCATTCTCAAAATTTGACATTATTGTTTTTCTCAGGGCGCAGCCCGCCGTTTGACAACACAGAAAAAGGACTTGGAGGTTGTTGAATCAGTTGGAGTTGCTGGAAAATCCGATTCCAACCAGACGGTGAAGTACTTTAGGCTAGAGGTAAGAAAAGTTTGATTGTAACGGGGTTGTGTTTGGAAGCTGTAAGAATTGCTTGTAAAAAATTATTCCCATTATGATGATTTGTGGAAAATAGTTGGAAGCTTATCATGATCAAATTATAAGAATAAATTTGTCAGGTAGTTTCATTATTCAAAATGATCTTCATTTAGCATTATGTACTTCTTTTTATGTGAATACAGTGAAGTTCCTTGAAACTATGTTACTAAATTAGGATTAATATTTTTATTATGGAAGATACATCCTTGATTCACAATAAAATTTATAAATTCTGTTGAAAGATACATATTTGATACAGAAAAAAATTTATAAATTTTGTTAATGCTGCTCCCAAATGTACCCAAAAACTAGTAAAATTATTCCTGAGTAGGTGAAGCAGCTTCCTATAAATTGAACTTCTTCAATTCAATTTATGTTCTTGATGAGTTGCTGTGGTCCAGCCTGCCATTTGTCGTCTCTAGACTTATTTTATGTTGGAATGATATTGTTAATAATTGATGATTGCAGTTTATGGACAAAGCACATGAAGATGTGGACGATGATCTAGATTTTGGAGCACTTGAAAATGGATTTGTAAGTACAACATTTTTATCTCTTTGGTTAATGGGACTTATTAAATTGTGTAAAATTGAAATGGTTTTGTTCCAATTCTCTAAGGGCTCAATTCAATGCATATTGGAAATTAACAGTCTGTTGTGTTAATCAATGTATCATCTCAGAAGCAAGAACATTTTCCAAAAGTAGGTTCAGTTGTAGGATATAATAAGGCAACACCCTTTGCATTTATTGTATCCCGTTATTATGAGTGACAATTTGTACAAATATCTGTATTTACAAGACAATGAAGCATTGGTTTGCATTGGATGGCAAAGCATACTAGACACTCTAGCTTTTGTATCAAATGAAAAAAAAAGAAAAGAAAAAGAAATGAAATGGTATTGCATCTTTAATACATGGAATTTACTTCATTTTGAGAAAATAGTAAGACGCTGTTCAAAATAGACTCATTTGAAATACTATCTCTTGAAATGGAACGATTCAAGCTTCATTTGGCTTCTAAAATCTCATGTATTCTTGTTTCCAGCTGCCTAATTCTTGCATATTACTTTGGAACAGGTTGCAATAACTCCACTCTCTCTTTCGCCACATATAGAATCGGACACACATACAACTGCTTCAGATTGGGTTTCTACTGTACTCCACGAAGAACAACAATGACAAATACGATAAAAAAATGTTTTGCGTCCTTTTGGAGCTGTAGTATGTCGTTTTAATTATCAATTCAACATGCCTACAGATTCAGGATGATGCCGTCCTTTTGATTAATTTTTTTATCCTCTGGTCCCATCTCCCAGTTATTTATTCTTTTTATTTTTGTTGCGGAGCAAATGCTTCCACACTAATTTACATGTTTGGCATTAGAATGCCAGTCTGTCCCTTGTTCATTGCTGACAAAGTTGTATCAGTTGGGTGGTTTTGATATTTCCCTTTTTGTCCCCCTTCAATATTGGATGAGTGGGATTGTTTGTTTGTAGTTGAAACAGTGTAACTGGAAATGTTAAGGTTGGAAATGTCTGTTGTAGCATTCTCATAATTGTGTGTTTTGAAGCAATGTGAAGGAAGAAAGATTTGCAAATGATGTTTGGATTTAACTTTGGAACTTGTGTTGGAATAACAAGTTTTCGCACTAACGACAACATTCCTACTTTTCATAGGAACTTGCAAAGCATTCGAGGTGGTCATCACTGTCATCATTTTTGCCTTTATTTCACGTGAGAGAGGTTGGCCACACAAATTCTCTTTGTCCAATCTTATCTCCTACTAGAGCTTGACCTCCTTGTTTCGACCTCTTTGCTTCGTACTTCCTACACAAACCAAACTTTCTCTTCTAATTGGTTCATCTACATGTTTACGCTGGATGTGTTCATATTATTTAAGTTTACTCTTATTTTATCAATAATTGGGGTCAATCCTAATTTACCCCTTACCAAAAGCAATTCATGGGACAGGTCTCCATTGTTTTAAAAGGCATTTTTGAGGTTGGTAGTCTGAAAGCTCCAACTCATCACTTTATAGGTTTTTTTATTTTTATTTTTATTTATTTATTTATTTTTTTTTTGAAATTAATTAGAATGAAGAAACAGGGATTACCCTATAACCTGGGAAGTACAGACCTGATACAACTAATCCAATAAAGTGATGTGTTTTTTTTTTTTAACCAATAAAGTGATGGTTCACAAACTTTAACATGTGTTCTAAGATTTGACAAATGCTATGTATTAAGAAATTTTTGGAATGATTTTCTAGAGTCATTAAGAAATTTATTTGGCATGGAAATATATATTATTCAGAAACAATGATTGGGCTGGATAATGGGCCCACTGGCTCAATCTCATCCCTAATGGGCCATTTATGGTCTAGTAGCACTAATTTTAGACCGGGCCTTTAAAACTATTTGCTCATGGGTCAGAGTCCATAAGATGATTTGTAAAAGCATGTTGTGAACTGATAACTCTCAGACTCTCTCTCTCTCTAGGGTTCTGCACTTTACTGAAACATCATCAGCTCCCTAAAATGTCGTCTAAGACACTAATGCGCACCGGAGTGTCTCTGATGAATCGATTACTGAATCCAATGATTCTTCAACAGAGCTCCAGTTCGAGCCATCTCATTGCATCGCACGCACCCGAAATTACCCCAAAGCTTTTCCCTCCATGCCTATCCAACTTTCGTACCCCTCTCAATTTGCCCCAAGACGACGCTGAAACCCTCAAAAGATTAAATTCTGTTGGATTCTTGTACCCCTGCGGACTTCCTTCTCTCCGTTTTTTCTTACCAGATGGTACTCTCTGTCTCTCTCTCCGTGCATATTTGTATATATATTATATACAATGTGGATGTATTTGACGTATAGGTGTAGTTTTGATTGGTTGTCTTGTAGAAATGAATGATCATATTCTACTTGGAATACGAATTGAAAAGGTGTTCATTGTGATTTCGTGTACAATTTGATTAAGCTAGACGCATTTCTTAACTATTACTTTAAATTGAGGGCATTTGAATTGTTTTCTGATTCTTTGGTGATATTGGCGGTGACAATGCCTAATTGTGTGTTAAAACTTTACGTGGAACATGGTGAATTGATTGAATTACTATTATTGTTATTTTAATTTTGATCCATATTTTTAATTGCTATATAACTGATGGGATTTTCTGTACTAGTTGGGTTGGAAAATTTTCATTGCCACCCTTTGGTTTCGGTAAGTCAAAGGGTTCTGGTTCATTGCTTTTGGTGGTAGTCAAAGAAAGTAATGGTAGAATGTGAAGAAGTAGTGAACCAAAAGATTGCTTGAAACTTATGACATTCATATGGAAATAAAAGATGAAGTAATCTGAGAATTTATATAATGTTGGATATCACTATTATGGTTGGTGCAACATATGGGAATTGTGATCAAGCACGTCCTCAGGGATGAAGCCCACTTTGCTGATTTCATTGCAAAGTGGGAATGATACATATGACATTCTGAGTAACCTTTACTCTTTTTTTCCAACTTTCGTTTGCTGAATGTATGGTGACTTTAGTACATTTGGATTTGTTGAATTCTCCAACTATGGTGGCTTTAAGTCACCTAGTTGTAGTGCTTACCATGTCTTTCTGTTTGTATGGACATATACACCGAGAAGAGAAGAACTAGTTTGCATAGAAAGTAAGATGCAGAGAGGGCGACCGAAATGAACGTGGGATGAAGTTACTAGAAATGATTTAAAAACTTAAATATAATAGGTGAAATGACTTGAAATAGAAAAGAACAGAAAAACATAATTCACTGGCCAACCCTATTCATATGGGTTTTAAGGTAACGCCAATACTGATGTATATGCTGTTATTGTCATTGACAATATTGAATTCTTATTGTGCTGGAAATTGTGACTTCAAAAGAAGAAGTTTTGGGTTTTTGGCTTACTCAAACAGAGAGCCAAGAGTTATATTTATATACAAGAATATGGTACAGAGAAAGGAAACCAAAATAAAGAAAAATAGGAAATATGCCAAAATCTACGTGATCCCATGATTACTGGGATCTTATCTACGTGATCCCACGATAATAGGGATCTTACATAAAACACCTAATAGAAGGCTGAAAATAGTTAATAAAAATAAAAATAATAATAATACAGATATTTCAACATTCCTCCTCAAGCTAGAGTGAAGATATCAATCAAGTCTAGCTTGGTAATCGAGGAATGAAGCAAAGATGGACCAACGGATTTGGTGAACACATTTGCCGACTTATTAGAGGCTTGATGATTCCCGAACGAACCTTCTCTCTGATAAAATGAATGTCCACCTCTATATGTTTAGTCCTCTCATTAAGAACAGAATTTGAAGCAAGCATGATGGCTGACTTATTATCACAAAACAAGTCTGATGACTGTTTTTCACTTAGCCCTAGTTTTTCCTAGAAAGATCGAAGTCAGAGAATCTCACAAGTACCTTGGGGCCATGGCACGATACTCAGCCTCTGCTGAAGATCTCAAAACTATAGGTTGCTTCTTACTTTTCTAGGATATAAGATGATCTCCATAGAAAGTATAGAAGCCAGATGTGGAATGTCTGTCAGTCTTGGACCCAGCATAGTCTGTATCACTAAAACAGGATAGCCCAACTTGCCTGCTAGAAGAATAGAATAATCCAAGTCCAGGACAGGACTTAAGATATCGAAGAATATGATATACCGCATCCATATGAGCTGTACAAGGAATATGCATAAACTGACTCACAACACTAACAACAAAAGCCAAATCAGGATGGGTCTTGGTAAGATAAATCAATCTTCCTACCAAGCGCTGATACTGCGAGGGATCAGAAAGGAGATCTCCAGTCTCAGCCGAGATCTTCATATTAGGATCCATAGGAGTGGAAGAAAGTTTACACCCAAGCATACCCGTTTCTCGTAGAAGATTCAAGACATACTTCCTTTGCGATAAAGAGATACCCTGTTTAGATCTAGCAACCTCAATTCCCAAGAAATATCTGAGCTATCCAAGGTCTTTCACATCAAAAGCTTTAGCCAATTGAAGCTTTACTTGAGCAATCCCAGGGATGTCATTGCCAGTAATGATGATATCATCAACATAGACAAGAAGAATGATACATTGACCAGTAGAGGAACGGTGGATAAAATATGTATGGTCAGAATGGTATCTAACAAACTCTATTGATATAATTACATCACTGAAGCGGTTGAACCAAGCTCTGGGAGATTGTTTTAACTCATATAAAGACTTCCGCAATCGACAGACCTTTCCAGCATACTCCCCCTCAGCCCGAAAACAGGGTGGAGGATCCATATAAATAGTCTCAAGAAGATCACCGTTAAGGAAAACATTCTTCACGTCAAGCTGATGAAGAGGTCAATTGTGAGAGGCAGCCAGGGCGACAAGCAAACGAATTGTGGTCAATTTAGCCATCGGAGCGAAGGTATCATTAAAGTCTTTACTTTAGCCACCAAACGGGCCTTATACCGATCAATAGAGCCATCGGCGAGATATTTAACACTGAATACCCATTTCCAGTCACCATTTTTTTCACCAAGAAGGAGAGATACAAGCTCCCGTGTTTTTATTTTGCTGCAAAGCATCCATTTCTACCATCATAGCAGGCATCCAATTGGGATTCCGGAGAGCCTCAGAGACATTTATGGGAATGGAAATGGAATCAAGTTTGTATAGAAAGGCTCAGTAAGACCTTGAAAGACCATCATAAGTGATATATTGCGAAATAGGATGATCATTACTACAGGCGGATCCAAATTTAGCAGGGGGTTTGTGGTCCCGAGTGGGATACCTGGACTCAGGAACAGGGCAGGGAAATGTAATGGAGAAAGAGGAGATTTACCTGAGGAGGATGAAGGCAGTGGAGGCAGAGCACGAGGGCAGCGAGAATAGACCTACAAAGGGGGTGAGGAAACCACAAGAGAAGACTCTTCTTGAAAAATAGGAAGACGACGAGCAAGAGGAGAAGCCTCTTGATCGGGTGTAGAAGTTTCCTGCAAGATAGTGTTAGAACCATAAAAAGGGGTATGCTTATGAAAGGTGACATCAAGAGAGTGATACATGTGTTTGTGTACAATATCATAACACCGGTAACCTTTTGACATTGAAGAGTATCCTAAAAAGATACATTTAATGGCATTGTCGTCAAGTTTAGTACGAGAAGGGCTACGATTCTGAACAAAACATGTACATTCAAACACCCGAGTCATGATGGAAAAAAGAGTAATATTAGGCTGAAGCACTTGTAAGGGGGCCTTACCATTTAATACTCTACTAGGGGTACAATTAACGAGAAAAGTAGCTGCAAGAACCGCCATGTGCGAGTATGACTTTGACACATTCATACCACTTAAAAGATATCGAACAATTGACATTAGCTGGTGGTTTTTACGCTATGCCACATCATTCTGTTCAAGGGTATATGGACAAGCAAGTTGATGAAGAATACCCTCTTGGTTAAGTTGAGACCGACACTCATTGGAAACATATTCACGACCATTGTCAGAACTAATATTCCTAACAACAGTTTTATATTGAGTTTTGATCATTTGGAGGAATTGAGTGAATAAGGAAAAAACTTCAAATTTCTTTTTTAAGTAAATATTCCCATGTGCAGCGGGAATAATCATCTATGAATGTGACATAATAATGATGCCCCGGAAAAGTTGTAACAGGAGAAGGACCCCACACATCAGAATGTATGAGTAGGGCTGTAAATGAGCCGAGCCGAGCCAAGCTTTAGAGTTTTCGGGCTTGGCTCGGCTCAGACAAAAGATGATCAAGCTCGGCTCGGCAACTTCTTCTTTTTTTTTTTTTTTTTTGGGTTCAGCAGATGTGATGGTTTCTCCTTGCTAAATCCTATGATTCACATCTGTATATATGAATCTTTATTCAAATATATATATATATATATATATATATATATATATTCATCTATCTTAAGTTTCATACCAATCTTGCAATGTTTCATCTTCAAACTTTCACGTTCCTGATTTCAAGCAGTCATGCCATTATAAAGAGAACAGAAGAGTGAGACCAGTTGAGGGAGATAGAGAGAAAAACCAGTATATGAGAGAGAAAAACAAAACCAGTGGCTAAGAGGGAGACCAGTTGACAGAAATAGAAACACCAGTACTTGAATGTTTTGGCTTGGGGTTTTGTTGTTACTGTGTTCGTCGTTTGCTTGGGGGGTGTTTGGTTTTACACTATTGGGAACTTAGGGTCAAGAACTTGGGGGTTGGTTTGAAGCTATTGTTGATCCTTCGGTTCAGACTTCAAAAAGATGCTATTGGGAACTTAGGGTTGAGAACTTGAGATCAGATGTGGTTAATATGTTTATATAGATGGGCTTTAGATATGGGCTTGTGAGTTGTGCTTAGACTTTTTAATTTGTTTGGGTTTAGTCTATTTTATTTTTAAAATGGTTAGTTACATGCATATGGATTAATGATTATATATTTATTATTTTCACGAGCTTATTAACGAGCTTTGTTCACGAACATGTTCATGAACTAACGAGTCGAGCTCGGGGTTGTTTGAGATTGGTTCATTTATCAAATAAATGAATGCAAGCCGAGCTCTTATCGAGCCGAATCCGAGCTATTTGTCGAATGTTTGGTTCACTTACATCCCTATGTATGAGATCAAACATGCTAGGTGCACGATGCATATGAGAAATATAATTGGTTTTAGTATGTTTAGAAAGCTCACAAATCTTACATTAAAACTTATTATCCTTACAAGCTATTAATGAAGGGAAAAACAGACATAAATGCTGAAAGTTTACATGCCCAAGGCGAGCATGCCGTAAATTTAAAGTCTGAAAAGAAAAATCATAAGATCTAGAAACTAGAAGAACAAAGGCTTGAAGGCTTGAAGCAAGTGAAGGAGGTGTCGGTGGAGGATCCCTAAAGTAGTAGAGGCCATCATGCTCATATCCCCTACCAACAATCCTCTTCGAACACAGGTCCTGTAAAACACAGTAATGAGGAAAGAAAATCACTGCACAATTTAGTGATTTGGCAAGTTTGGTAACATATAGAAGATTAAATGCAAAGTTAGGAACATGAAGAACAGATGGCAAAATAATATCAAGAGATAGATGAACATCTCCTTTACTACGAATAATGGTGGTTGACCCATTGGTTAAACTAACAGCCTGATTAACAGGGGTACAGGAGTAGAAAATAATGACAACTCACCAGTCATTGGCTCCGGATTCCAGAACCCAAGTCGGTTTTCCCGCTTTAACATGAAAAGCAGAAGGAGTACCTGTAACTATAGTAGCCATGGGAATAGAAGAGCCAGCCCTGGTAGATAAAGCTCCAAATTGCTCCTGAAGCTGACCAATCTGGGACTGTAACTGATTGAAGTCCTGAAAAGATGGTATGGGAGAAGTTGAAGTAGGAGGGACAACAATCTGTGGAGTAGTATACCCACCAATAGTATCGGTTACTGTTGCAGTGCTGCCACGGCCAGAAGGACGATTGCGAGAAAATTTCTGCTTTAGCTCGGGATGAAGCTTAAAGCAACAATCCTTTACATGACCTGTGGCTCCACAATGTTGACAAATAACCTTTCCCTCTGAAAATCTAGAATTAGCAGCAAGAGCCACATCGGATCAACTGGAGTTTCTAGTAAAGCTACTGACTGAGAGATTTGACGTTTATACTCCTCATGGTCAACAGTAGCGAAGACATTATATGAATCAGACATATGAGAGGGGTTTATGCTTTGAGTTCTAAGAGCATCATACTCAGATTGTAAACCCATAAAAAAACTGGTAGGTATGTTGGCGGTCCAGCCTCTTGACCAAAAGAGTTGCAGCTTCTTTAGAGAAATCGGAGAGAGGTTCCTGCTAATTCTTCCCACCTAGACTGGAGGTACCCAAAATACTTTGATACTGACAGCTTTAGTGTCTCCTGAGATGCATGAGCAATCTCCTTATAGAGTTCCAAGATACGAGCGTCATTGCGGGAATGAGCATACATCTTGTAAAGGGCTAGCCACATACGAAAAATGGAAGTGTGAAACATGAGCTCCTCCACTGAGTTGAAGATCCAACTTAGAATGGTGCACCTGTCCATGTCCCATGCAATATATTTAGTATCCGTCTTTTTCGGTTCCTTGACTAGACCAAAAAGCCAACCAGTTTTCCCTTTCCCTCCAATATAGAGTTGAAGAGAACGGGACCAAGATACGAAGTTGCGTCCATTCGAGAGCACACTAGTAACTTGCTGTGCCGGAGTATGATGTGCCGAAGATAAAGTATGCTGGATCAAGGATAAAGTGTCCTTTTGGCTACTAGAATCAGTCATTGTACCAAAATAAGGCTGGTTCACACGTCAAAGCAGGAGGAAAGAGAAAAAAACAAGGCTGGAAAAATCGGCGACAAAGAAAAAAAAAAACACCAGAAGGACCCTTGGGTCATAAAAAAACCTAAGGGAATTCTCACAAAAAAGAGTCAAAAACAGAGGGTTTCCTGAGGGGTCCGACGCGCAAGGGCTGGGAGGAGATGGAGGTGCGCTGGAGGTGAGGGAAAATGGAGAGAGGGAGAGAGAAGGTGGTGGCGTTGGGGAGGAAGATGGGGAAGCGAAGGTTTTTGGTTTGTTCTGATACCAAAAAGAAGTTGTTTTGGGTTTTTGGCTTACTCAAACCGAGAGCCAAGAGCTATATTTATATACAAGAATAGGGTATAAAGAAAGAAAACCAAATCAAAGAAAAACATGAAATATGCCAAAATATACGTGATCCCATGATTATGGGTATCTTATCTACGCGATCCCATGATAATAGGGATCTTATATAAAACACCTAATAAAAGGCTGAAAACAGCTAATAATTTTTAAAAAAATAATAATACAGATATTTCAACAACGTCTAATAGTCATTGAGGACGAACAACAATTTAAGCATTGAACAATTAAAATGGATATCTAACTTTAATGAGGCAGATATTATGCTTTCCTTTCTCCTCCACTTCTCTTTTAAAGTTCCCTAAAATCTGGTTCCTTTTTCCCTTAATGTCATAGTATTATCTTGAGTTTTTGGTTCTAAAGAAGTTTGACACTTGTAATAATGTGTTTCTTTGTTGTCCTCTGTCTATCTTTATCTTGAGTTTTGGTTCTAAAGAAGTTTGACACTTGTAATAATGTGTTTCTTTGTTGTCCTGTCTGGAGTTTGATGCAGTTGATAACAGCCTCGTTGAAATTTGACGTTATGTGAATAAATTTAGTTGGCCGTATTTCCTTCATTTGTATGGATCACTCAGGATCTCAACTTAAGTTCATTTTGCACATTGCCTCTTTTGAATAAAACTTTAAATCATCCTCGTTAATGGTCTCTTGCCATTGAAAAGTAGAAGAGCCCCACAAAATAAAATAAAATAAAAACCAAAACCAAAACCTTGTAGCAGTTGGGAGAAGGCTCTGTTGCTTTAGTGGCATTTTAAAGGAAGGGATGGGGATGGATGTTCAAGTCGAGGGTAGGGGCAGGAGAGGGATTAATGGGCACTCAACTTCTGTTAAGGGTTTCTGTTTCATTGTTCTGCCCTTTGTATGTGTCCATGAGTTTTAGTTTTGGGTAGGTTGGTTTCACAGAGGCTGCTTGTATTTAGTGTTCTAAGGTACTGTAGTACTGAAAAGGTTACAAACATATTGTCTGACTTCCACCAAAAGGTTTATTTCTTGATGATGAGGTCAGAAGTAATCAAGTATAATTAATTAGTACCTTCAAAGTCATGATGCGTGTTTAAGTCTTAGTCCTTGAGAGCAGTGTCCGGGACTATTGTTGCGCAACAGTAGAAACTCAGGTTGCCAAGCGCGTGAATACTTTATTGAGTTTTCGTCCAGCCAGTTTGTGCAAAATAATGAGACAAATGTCAGGTTCCTCTGCCAAACATATCACACAAGCAGGACTAACATCAGAGTGGATGTTAGCCTTTGAGAACATGATGCACCTTGTAGAACTTTTTCCTTTGTCTGTGTGTGTGTGGGGTGTCAAAATGTTATCTGTATGGAGGAAATAAAATCCTCTCTCTCTCAATGATTTGCGTGGGTCTAATTTTTTTATTTTTTTATTTTTAAGTTCACTGAATTCATCAAGAAAAAAAATAAAAAATTGCTGCAGCATTTTGCAGAACAACCCCATCTACAACAGAGTTTTCTTCAGCATGGGTCCTAAATCTGAGCTGGCAATTCTTGTATTATACTATTAGATCCTTTCCCTTCTCTGTTAATATGTATTTTTAACTTGTGAAAATAATGTTACTGCACTTGGCCCTTATTAATTTTAGCATGAAGTTGTAATTGCGCTGTTGCTCCAGGAGATGATGATTCATCAAGTGGACCCATGCTTCTACTTCCCAAACGGACATACCAACCTAGCACCATCAGGAGGAAGAGGAAACATGGATTTTTTGCTCGGTACATCTCTCTCTCTCTCTCTCTAACACTACAAGTCTCAGACGTGCATACTTGTATGCTCTTAACTTGGATATGCCCCCTTATAACCTGGCCCCTTTCTTTATTATTGAACAAGAATTTGAGAAAGTATGATCTCAATGGGAAATAAAAGGGTTGGTCCGGGAACTGGATCTCATTTGAGAATATTTTGGCTTGCTACCCATGTGGAACCTTATTCTCTCAGTAATGGATGCTTCATCCTGCTCTTGGTAGATTTGACCAATTGTGATGGCACATCATTGAATTCCTTGGTTTTGAAAATACCAGAACTAGATTATTTTGCCAGATCAGCTAAGAATGATGTCTGACATATTGCTTATCTACCTTGTATTGAAGGGGCAGTAATTTTACTTCAATGATCCTTGTCCTTTTGATTGCATGCAGGCAAACTTTTTATTTTATTTTATTTTATTTTATGTGAAAAATGATTCATTTTTGTTTGCTTGTTCGCATAAAAATGGTAAATAATGAGTAGATATGACTTTTATGGTTAATGCACCTTTTATGAGCAGCAAAGCAACCAAGGGAGGCCGGAGAGTCATTGCTCGAAGAATCGCAAAGGGCAGGTATAGAATCACAGCATAGTAACATTTGCCTTCAGCGAAATTTCGATCAAATCAAATCAAAAGTCTAGACGCTTGCCCTTTTGAAACAAATGGGTACTTTCTGGTGGCGTCAACTGCCTTGTATTCCTTGAAGGATATTGACAATTTGTTTCTTTAGGTTTGTAGATTTGCTCATTTTAAGCTTATTGTCCTTGTTGCGTGTAATGTTTGGTAGTATTCTAATGTTTGTATTTCAGATTGATCTATAAAATGCAGTTCTGTTTTCCGAATCTAGTATGATATGTAGTGGTTCAAAAGTAATTGCAAGGCCATAAATTATCATTTGATTTTTAATAAATCAGGATTTTTTGGAAGGAAAAGTGACCTTGGATGATGCTTGAAACATTTGGAATGGCCATATCAGTAGTGGTGTTATGATCTGTGGTACTGGTGCCAAAACAATCATGTAAACACGTCAATGGCCTAGTCAAGAAACTATTATGTATGTGTATATGGGGGTGTAACTTGGGTTGGGTAACCCGTAACCAATTCGAGCCCAGCCCAGTTTTTCACGGGCTTGGGCAATTATTTTTAAAATTAGGGTTGGGTTTGGGTTGAAAAATCTCAACCCGAATTTAATTAGGGTTGGACTTGGGTTGAAGTGCTAGCAACCCGAGCTAATTCGAATCCGAATTTTAATATTATTTTCATATATATTTTTACTTTTAAATACATTATATATAATATTTAACATTTCTTTTTTTTTTTAACTTCTTTTGTTAAATCTTAACTTTTTGTACGTTAACATTTAGGAGAATTAATTTTCTAAAAGGTTTGTTTGTAATTTATTAAAAATCTACAAAAAAAATCTTTGAACTTTCTCTTGTTTAAGAGTAATCTAATTTAAAATTAATTCAAGATGATATTAAAATTTTGATATAAGGATTAGTTATATAAGTATTCCGAATTAACTCGAAGTTTTTACCTAGAATTTAAACCCGAGTTGCAAGTCTGAATTTAAAAATAGAAGAATGGGTTGGGCTTTGGGTTGAGTAATTAAAGTTGAGGATAGGGTTGGGGTCGGGGTTTAGCATTTCATATAGTGGGCTGGGCTCAACTTACACCTCAAACCCGCCCAACCCACCCGAATTGCAGCCCTATGTGTATATTAGTGTGTACCTCTAGAGGCTGGTTTGAACTTTGAGTACTTGGGCCCTTGGCACCTATGCTTAATTAGCATTGGCTGTTTTCTGGCAAAAATACTTGATTGAAAAGTAGTAGGTTGGCAAGACAGCAATCATCATCTTAACATTATGCAAGTACTTAAAATATTTGGCATCACAACAAAATGAGTCCATGCGTCAAGTGATATAATTATATATCTTCCTACATTTAAATTCATGTGGTCGACAACCAAATGGAAAAATGTCATTTCATATAACTAGTCAGTGCTGCATATGAAAAATCACAAATTTATAGTAGTAGACAAACAAACATGAACTCTTCAATGTCACTCCAATCCACAACCAAATGGAAAAATGTCATTTAAGTAGTCAGTACTGCATATTTCACTTCCCTACAAGGGCTGTATGAAAAAGAAGAAAAAATCATAATAAACAAATCCTGTAACCTCAACCACTTCCCTTTACATCTATAAAGCCATATATTCTTGTAAAACAAACCACAAAATCCTATCCAATTGTTCGAAAACTTGTTCAGGTCCTTAAGGATGAACACCCTTTGATGTAAATTTCTAACTTGAGAAGTTCCAACTCAAAAAGGACAACAAGCTGTTGAATTCCATTTCCATGGAAGCAAAACAATGGAAATAGCCCAAGCTTTGTGCTCATAATAGCAAACTATGAATCTCCTTCAGTTCCGACCACTTTTTACCCAATCATCATATCCATCCAATTGCACTGGTGGGTAGAGATCCTTGCACAAATCAACTGAATAACAATTATAACTAGCACTCTTCCTTGTATCCTTGCACAAATCAACTGAATAACAATTATAACTAGCACTCTTCCTTGTATCCCCACTACAAAATGGACTCTGTTTCCTATGGAACTGAAGGTTCTCCATCAAATGCCTCTGCATATTGTTAGATAGATGATTGCAGGCTCTCTGCTTAGCCTTGATTGACTTAGTGAGACTCATATAGTTTGGTTTATTGGCATTACCTTCCACTAGAGTGTTGCCAGATCCGGGAGTTCCCGCAGATGCTGATGAAGCTGATGAGGTGGTGCTTTCATCATATGGAAATTCCGAACATGGGTCAGAAGACGAGCAAGTGATTTTGCCGGTAACTGGAGGTTTTGCAGATACCCTGGTTGAAATATTGTTTCGTCTAACTTTTGCCGAGTCCTGTTCAGAAGAATCTGAACTAAACCTGACAGAATAATCTTCATATTTCTTAGATACTGGAGTCATCTCTGATGGGTCAGAGCTGAATTCTTCAAGCAGCCTGCTTTCCCATGGCTTAGGCGCCATCCAACCTTCTAACCAGCTCCATCCTGGGCTGTCCTTATCCAGCTTGCGAGAAGACACTAGCTTGTTTGATGTAGAATTTGTGCTGAGTTTTGATCTCAATTGCTGAAATCAATACATTTTAAACTACATTAACCTACTAGATGATACGATCTCTCATTCCCAAAAGGGAGTTTGAGGATTCGAGCGCTGCAAGGGGTAATATTGTGGTAGTGTGTGCGTTTGCTTAAACTTTAGGAAATGATAATTTGGATTCGTTACCTGTTGAGAGAGGGCGTATGAAATTGCTCTCTCCCTCTTGATGGCTCCTTCTTGCTTCAGTTGTAGCTTTGTTTTCACTTCATCGATTGTACCAGGACTATCACACCATCCACCCTATCAAATGCAAAAAGATTCATTCATTCATCTACTTCTTGAACTGCACTATGTAAAATTCATAGTTGTAAACATATATCGAACACCATATCATACCTCGGCCTGCTTAATCGGATCAGCTTGGTTTCGCTGTTCATCAAGTAATTTCTGTGCTTCCAAGGATGCCTGAGCACTCGTAGCCCTGACTCGAGCCTGAGCTCGGACAAGAGCCTGCATGCACCTGAGTGTAACTGCGGCTTGCTTTCTCACCTTCCGGCCTCTAAATATAGCCTGCAGTCTCACCACTGCTTTCAAGGCCCTAAAAGCCTGTCTTGCCTTCAATCATCATTTTACTCCCCAAATTAGCAATAACAAACAATATTTGACAAAAAAAAAGGAGTAAAATTTATAAAAGCATGATGGATATTTCTTCAATCATATCATTGTTTTTTTCTAAACACATTCAAATTTGATATCTAAAAATTGTACAAGCACACACTTCTCAAATGATTGAAAGTCTATTCATCATGCTAAAAGAGCTCTGGCGCTTTTTTCACCAAAAACAATCCAAGAGACTTGCATTTAGTAACATTTAAATATATTTATACATATAAATATATATATATACACATGTACATATGTATATCATATTACATGTAAGCAGAGAAACCAATTTACCAGGAAGGCACGAAACATTGTTTGGATACGAATCGCAGCCCATTCTTGTCTGATCACCATGAAATTCTTTGGTGGAGCTCGAACAACAGTAGCCATGGCGGCAGTGAACGCCTCATCAACAACAAACGAAGAATCAGACCGCTCCGATCTGGCCACGTGACCTCCTTTCATGCCCTTTGACGACAGTGCGAGTCCACCTGAAGAACTCCTCCACAAACTCCATTTTCGACCCTTATGGCCCATCTTTTCCTGCAAAAATCAAAAGACAACGAGTAGGGTAAAAAACACAGAGAAGCAAAAATAGGAAAACAATTAATTGAAGAAACACACAGATTATGAAATCAGTAATGTTAGCTTACAAGGTCACATGTTTGAGTCTTCTTGAGACCAATCAATGACTTAATCCACTTTCCTGAAGCACCCATTAGATAGATAGAGAAATAAACCTCGGTTTTTGAACAAAGCAAAACTATATAAACTTGAACCTCTCTGTTGAGTCTGTTCAGATGAAGAATATAGATTAAACAGAACTCTGGAGAGTAGTGATTTCAGCAACGACTGTCTGAAAACAGCAATCAAGCCGCAGACACAGACTAGTAGTAATCTAGAGAGAGAGAATAGGGGACGTTTGGGGTTTTAGGTTGGGGCGTTATGGTGGGTTTAATGTTGGAGTGATTGGGCGTTTGAATTTTGAAATTCGAAAGAAAAAGGAAATTTGTAACGGATATATGAGGACTTTTTGGTTACCATTTTGAAACAAGGAACAAAACGACACGGTTTTACGGTGGATAATTGAATATTTCCTCACCAAAGGAAGCTTCGTCAACTGGATTTACGGAAGTACAAGCACGCTCCTTGTTGGAGAACTCGTAAAGTGGTGGAACTTTCAACTCCCATAATTTTCCATATACAGTCTGTCTATATATAGGGGCAGCCAATTAAGGCCTAGGGGCACGTGCCCCCTTTGCCTGGCCCGCCCTAGTTATTTTGTATTCATTTTAAAATATGTATTATTATTATTTATTTTTTCAGTTTTAAAATGTGTATGAAAAATTATATATACAGTCTCTTAAATTTTTAATTTTTAAGTCAAATTTCCCCTTTTGAATCATACATTAATTTTTTTCATTACAAATTTATCTCAATATTCTTTTCTTTTCCTTCTTAAAAATTTTCTTTTTGCATGTTATATATATATATATATATATATATATATATATCTCATTCATATACTCCCTCCGTTCCATAATAAGTGTTTCGTTTACCATCAGTATTATCGTTTCTCACATTTGTTCAGACTACATGGCTATACGATTCCCAATACATGACACTTATTATGGGATGTAGACACTAAAATTTTAGTAGGCTTTGGTTTTGATAAATGGACCCATTAAATATGAGCCTAATGTTTAAATAAACATATAATTATTCCTAAAATATATTTGGAATAATTATTTTTAAGAATAATTATCATAATATAACCGGCCCGTGTAACGACCCTAAACTGTTACCATATAAAAAAAAATTTCGGCATGACCTCCCCTAAAAAATGGGCCTACCACAACCTGTTTAAATACATTTTAAACCTGTCTCAGCACAATAAATACATAATACATCCCAACATCCCTTTCATCCATTCATCATGCCTTAACTTAGTTCATTCCATAATGGTACAACCACATATTATATCATCCAGATAATATAGTTATAGTCTCCAAATACAAGATTAATATCAAATGTTCATATTTTACAACATTTAGACAGCTCATACAAAAGTTACAGCCTATAGGTATAATTATAATAACAAGAGTCCACAAACCTCTATACCAAATATAACAAACTAAAATTTTACAAAAATATGGGACTTAATACAAAAATAGCAAAAAGACGTTTTCTAATCCAAATTAGGCCTGTGCTGGAAAGTCATCCGCCACTTCCTTCCCGTTTCCTGAAAAAAATTATTAAATAATAGGGTGAGCATAAAGCTCAATAGGTAGCACTTAAGACACATATTTTGTGTTCTTGTGAATCCATACAAAGAATAGATCAATAGGAATAGGGATCATACAATGTCGGGATAATACAACATTTCAACCAAACTCAAGTGCAAACAATACAATGTCATGGAATGCAAATGCATGCCGATGTCGCTCCCCATTTTCACATTTCAAACCATCACTTTCAAACTGTTAATACAACCTGCCCTTTGGTGACCCCGCAGCGGCACAAGAGGAGGATTGGCTACTGTCCCTAGACCTTTGGTAACCCCGCAGCGTCATCGAGGGGATAGCTCAACCACGTTAGGGCGACTCCCTAATCCCCTCTAGGCTATATTAACACTCCGGCCCTTTGGTACTCCCGCGGCGACCGGGTTTTCATAAAACCATTTCGTAAAAACTCTTTTCCCAAAATTTCCCTTTTTGTTCCAAAACAATTTCTCTCATTTCATGCCCAATGTAAGTGCATGAGTGCATCAGTACCATGAATATACTCATCATTCCACAACCAACTCAATTTAAGTAAGCAAGGCATAATTTCACAAGAATTTCTCAAGGAATTTCAACATGCTCTTATACAACAATATATCTAGCCCAACGAACATATATAAATCACCACATAGGCAAGTTTTTCACATAAAACATTTAATACAAGCTCTCACATAACCACATACACATATTCTAACTACTTCTAAACTACAACTAGCACAAATAAGCATGTCCTGCAACAATTTAGAAGATGTAATTCATATAGGAGCAAGAAAATTGTGGATTAAAAGCTCCTACCTCAAGATTGTACAAAATCCTTGAAATGGGTCTCTAATTTTGAACTCCCTAGGAAGCACCAAATCTGAAATTACTTACACTAGCGCGTAGAGCTCGTTGTGGGCTTTGTTTTGCCTCATACGACACTCAAATCCAATACGAAATGAGGAAGAAATCAAGTCTCAAAGCTTGAAACTAAAGTGAAAAAGAAAATGAAGAAGAAGGAAGGAAGAGAGAAAGTGACAGGGAGAGAGAATGAAGGAAAAGAAATGGTCTCTAGACCATTAAAAGTGAGTGGGTGGTGGGTCCCACCACCACCCTTTGACTTTTTATTTATTTAGTTTAAATTACCCACACACATACAAATGTATACACATATGCGCGCACACACACACACACACACACACACACACACATATATATATTAGACACAGACATTACAGTCCGACCCAGTTATAATTTTATCCTTATCAGGAGATGACACGTGTCATCATCCTATCAACCCAAGAAGCCTATAAATAGAGGTCTGGAGGAAGAAAGAGGGGACACAAATTTAGAGTCCAGAAATCCAGAAGGTTTAGAAATTGAGGGAATCAGAAATCCAGAGAGCCATAAATCCAGAGGGCAAACCTGAAGGTGAAGAACACCATGCACATCCAAAGTCGTGCCGTTCTTCACCAAATTCAACAAATCCTCTCTGAAGACGAAGAACAGCAAGCACATTAAATCGTGCCGTTCTTCATCCAAATTCTACGGTGATCAACAATAAGCACAGCCAAAGACGTGCCATTCTTTATCCAAATTCCACGGTGTTCAAGATCAAGCTCGTGCAGCCCTTGGATCCAACCAACCAAAAAGGAAATCGAATCAGAGGACCTTTTTCTTTGGAATATTATTACAGAGGATTGTATTCCATCTTTATAAATTAATAAAAATCTATTTGCTCCCAATTTTGTTTCTTATTTGCAGATTAAAAAATTTGTGTGTACATGGGACGAAGCGAGTAATATAACTTCTTATCGCAAGCAAACGTTGGTCTCTTGTGTAACACTTTAATTTTTCAATTCATCATTCGGCAAAGTTGGGTGAGAGGCTATAGAGTAGGTCTAGGTGAGTCAGATGTGTCCAACAGTTACAACTTAAACTTGGGTGAAAATCACCTCCAGTGAAATAGTATGTCATTTCCTCCATTTTGAAATGAGTGGCTCAGAAATGGCTACGTCAGTTATGTTTGGGATGCACAGTAGAAAAATGTTGGGTGTCACTCACAAAAATGGAGGAAATAGACTATTGTGCAAATGGAGAGTATCCTTGTCCCTAAACTTTCTCTGAAACTCATATCATCAACTTTTTTTTAAGGCTTAGAGACTTATCAAATTTGATTAAATCAGCCACAAAACATCATGAATGACATTTTTTTGTGTTTCACATATATTTTCATGGAATATGAGTCAAATTTTAATAATTTATCCTATAATTGGTGCATTGAGTTTTTCCAATTTGATTTATGAAAGATTGATCTTTTTCTGCACTCCACAAAATAAGAGGGCAAAGTACAGAAAACCCCCCCTAGACTTGTAGCCTTTTCCAGTAAATCTTCTTGTCTATTTTTTACCAAAGCCCTCGACTTGTAACCTTTTTCCAATAAATCCCTCTTGTCTATTTTTTACCAAATAACCCCCCTCAACTATTTGAAGGGGGGGTAAAAGAGTTGATATTTGGATCAAAATATCGTTTTATTTAAATTTTAATTCTCCCGAATTTCAAAAATTCATATCTTACAAAATGTACATTTAAAAATTATAAATTATATATGCACAAAAAGCTTATGAAAAATATAAGATTCCAAAAATATAAGATTTGTATAATAAACCTTTATAACCAGAGAAAAATAGGCAATCTAAAAATCTACTTCAACAATCTTATTTTATTTTTAAAAAATAAAATATTCGAGATATTTGCAAGAAAATTTCTAGAATCATTCATTTACATATGGAGTTGAATATATAAATTTTTTTAGCCCCAACAGAGATCGATTTCATGAGATATTATATTTTGTGTCAAAACATTTTTCATTCTTTTATAAACTCACCATTTTAAAAAAATAAAAATAAATATTCGGTCTCTATTGGGGTTAATTTTTTTTATATGTTATGCTCCATATGAAAATGAATAATTTTGAAAATTTTCTTACAAATAACCCTAGTATTTTATAAAAAATAAAATAAAATAAGATTGTTGTAGTAGATTTTTAGATTATCAATTTCTCTCTGGTTATAAAATTTTGATAAACAAATCTTATATTTGTGGAATGCTTGTTTTATAAGCTTTTCGTTCATATATTATTTACAATATTTGGATTTATGGTTTGTGAGATATAAATTTTTGAAATTCGAAAAAATTAAAATTTAAATAAAAGGGCATTTTGGTCCAAATATCAACTCTTTTATCTCCTTAGATAGTTGAGGGGGTTCTTTGGTAAAAATTAGATAAGAGGGATTTATTGGATAGGGTTACAAGTTGTTTTTTTAATAAAAAATTAAACCAAAGAAATTTATAGGAAAAGGTTACAAGTCAGGATTTTTTTAATTGCCAAAATAATATTGATCCTTCTTCAGTACCTTGAACAACAATAGTGAGTCTACCAGGGAGATTATTCATAGATAGAGCATTCTTGATGTTATTCAATATTCTTTGCATCACTATAATATGATATTATTTTCATTTATATATTTCGAATACACATCCATGCCATATAAGTGCTTACAATGAATGAACAACCCAGCCCCCAAAAATAGAAGATAAAAAAACTAGACAAGATGTTGAGGAAGAGAACAACTGGTTCAGCTGAAGTCAATGTTGGGATAATCCAGTTGAAGTATTTAAATATTTGATCGATGAGCATTTCCTGGATTCAAACAAACCTGTGCTTTAAGGTTGTCCTTGAAGGTTTCAATGTTGTTTACAGAATTA